TTAAAGTAATAATTCGTTATAATTACGTTATTTGAGAAAGTATTTTTCATTTATATACTATTCCGTTTATATATTTTTAAAAACGACGATAACCAATCACAGCAGACGGGTGTTTACAGGCTTTATAGTCTCAGCGATATGAGTGGATCGTTTTCAATTGTGTGCAAAATATTGTATAATACTTCAAGTAGGTTGACCAAACGTCCGAATTTTACGGATTTACCATTTTTTAAGGCGATCGGGAACATCCGGCTAGGTTTTCGAGTTTTAAATTAAGGAAATACGTCTATTTACTATGTAAAATCATAAGGCAGATATTTGTTTTAGAAAATATTTTAACGGGTTTTTTCCTCTCAAAAACTCTTCAAGATGTCAAGAAATGTTTTATACAATGATATTATAATAAAACTATTCGTATTTATTCCGACTGACAATAATATTTTTCAAGAATAATTACATGCTTTTCCCAATTTTAATCCTTAAAATATTCATTGAGTCACGTGGGTTTTGGTTGATTCAAAGACATGACTCTATTGTATTTCTCTCAAGAATTTGATCTAATAAGAATTGGGACGTTGATTTAAAATTATGAATTTTGAGGAGTACATTAATTATGTGATTTTAAGACAAAATAGAATTACATACATGCAAGCAAGCACGCATGCACGCACAAACGCACGCGTGATAAATAGATTCAAAATTCATAAACATCAATATTTATGTATATGAAAACATTCCGGCAAGGAATCATGTGTACGTACCTCTGTAACCTTTTACAAACAATTTCTGCGAACGCTTTTTAGCATCATTTCTGTGCCATCTTTGATTAGTTACTAATGTCCGTACGGAGCGGTTATAATGGCAAAACGAGAAGTAGGAGATAATTTAAACAGGGATACAGATCTAAGGAAAGAAAGACATCAAGAAGGTCCATCATGCATCAGACAATGTAATCCCAGTTCGTCGCTGGATACGTGGACATTACACAAAAACGAATATTAATGAAGCAACATGCAACCACTGTAATGATCAATATCTTATAGATATTTGGCACTTAAATATTTTACATTTACATTTGACAGCAATACATCCGGACAAATTACCAGAAGAAGAGAAGAAAGAAGTGAAATTCCATTGGGCTTGGGACTATTTTACTTTAAAAGGCGATGTATGGGCAATATGCAATATATGTAAAAGAATTTTTTATTCCAAAACCGTATCTAATTTAACACAACACTTAAAAAGAATTCACAAGTAAGTGTACTCCAACTATACAAACCATTGATAAACGTACAAAAGAATATAAAATTGATGGAAATAAAATTAGTAATAGTAACTAAAGAAAATGTAACGGAGATTAAGGTAGACAATTAATGGAAAAATGTATCATACATGTGTGTCAGCAAATACGATATAAAGACGTACAAATTGGTATCATTCGTACATATACTTATATTTTATAGTTTTATTGATTATAAAATATATTCCCGAATTTAAATTTACAATCACTACGTAAAGGAACAAAAACTAAATAATATTCGATATAATAACGAAACTAGTAATATTCGCTCATTTAAATTTTTCCTGGGAATGATTAGATTAATAGATTAGATGTGAATCTAGTTGAATGGTACATTTTTTATAGCTGCAAAATGTTTGGATAGTAAGATTCTTAAAACTGATACTTTAACCATAGTGGAGTAAAAAACATAATTGAAAATGATACTTCTATTTCATTGTTACCGCTTTTTAAATGATTCTTTACATAAATGTAGGATATTTGGTCCAAGTCCAGATAGCGCAATAAATAACGAAAGCAGTTTACAAAGCGATGCAAACAGGGATATATCTCTAAAAAAAGAAAAACATCTAGAAAGTCCATCTAACTCATCAAACTTATCTAATTATCAATTACAGGAATGTACAGAAGAAACAGGAACACTTAATGAGTAACTAATATTGCTTTACATTAGTTGTAATTCATATAAATAGATTTCATTTAAACTTTAAACTTTCTATGCTAATATAATCTATCTACTACGAGAAACATTCATTTATTGTTTCATTAATCACTTTCGTAATATGTATAGCCAAGCAGAAATTATTTTTTCAGTGATGCATCAGACAATGTAATCCCAGTTCGTTGCTGGATACGTGGACATTACACAAAAACGAATATTAATGAAGCAACATGCAACCACTGTAATGATCAATATCTTATAGATATTCGGCACTTAAATATTTTATATGTGCATTTGAGAGAAATACATCCGGACAAATTAACAGAAAAAGAGAAGAAAGAAGTGAAATTCCATTGGGTTTGGGACTATTTTACTTTAAAAGACGATGTAAGGGCAACATGCAATATATGTAAAAAAATTATGTATTGCGAAAATATATCTAACTTAACACGACACTTAAAAATTCTTCACAAGTAAGTGTCCTCCAACTATACAAACCAAAATTGATAAACGTATAGAAGAATATAAAATTGATTGAAATAAAATTAGTAATATTAACTAAAGAAAATGTAACGGAAGTAGACAATTAATGGAAAAATATATCATACTGTGTCAGCAAATACGATATAAAGACGTACAAATCTGTACAAATTTGTATCATTCATACATATACTTATATTTCATAGTTTGTTGATTATAAAATATATCCCCGAATTTAAATTTACAATCACCACGTATAAAAACAGAATCTAAGTAATATTCAATATAATAAGAAAACTAGTAATATTCGCCCATTTAAATTTTTCGTGGGAATGATTAGTTTAATAGATTAGATGTGAATCTAGTTGAACGATACATTCTTTACATCTTCAAAATGTTTGGATAGTAAGATTCTTAAAACTGATACTTTAACCATAGTGGAGTAAAAAACATAATTGAAAATGATACTTCTATTTCATTTTTACCGGTTTTTAAATGATTCCTTACATAAATGCAGGATATTTGGTCCAAGTCCAGATAGCGCAATAAATAACGAAAGCAGTTTATAAAGCGATGCAAACAGGGATATATATCTAAAAAAAGGAAAACATTAAGCAGGTCCATCTAAATCATTAAATCATCTTATCTAATTATCAATTACATGAATGTACAGAAGAAACAGGAACACGTAATGAGTAACTACAATTGCTTTGCATTAGTTACAATTCATTTAAATAAATTTTATAAATTAAAGTTTAAACTTTCTATGGAAATATATAATGTATCTACTACGAGAAACATTCATTTATTGTTTCATTTATCATTCTTGTAATATGTATAGCCAATCAGAAATTATTTTTTCAAGGATGCAGCAGACAATTTGATCTCTTTCGCTGAATACGTGGACATTACACCAAATTAACAAGATGTAATAAAGCAATGCAGTGAATGTAATGAGAAATTTTTTATATGTACCTATTAGTCCCTTAAATACTTTACAAACTCTTGGCAGATGCACATCCAGATAATGTAACAGGAGGAGAGAAAGAAGAAGTTGTATTTCATTGGGTTTAGGACTATTTTACAGTAAAAAGTGGGACAGAGACAACGTGCAAATAAATTAATAATTAGGTACATATGTGCAATTGATTTAAAAGGACACGAATTCACAAGTAAATTTGCTCCTTGTATACTAAAGATTAATAATTTTATCGCGGGCCTCTGTGTATTATTTTTTTATCATTATTATTAATCATTGTTTTTATCCTTATGTGTTAAATAAGAACAAAATGGTATGCGAAGATACTTAGATGGTGTTTTTGAATGTCGCCTATAAGAAAAACCGCATCGTTTGTTTGTAAGGTTTGATTAAGAAGATCCTAAAGCAAATCCTAAAGCCAGTTTAGCATCTGTGTTACTAATCATAATTTTTGTTTAATAATTACTTTTTCTCTCTTTTACAGATTCGAAAATCCTTTTCCAGGATTAAAGT